AAATAAGTGACCAAGCGCCATAAGGGTCCCCCAAGCATGGAAATCTGCACCCAAACAAGGGGGGCCAATGTGAGGGACCCATGGTACCACATGGCCACCCTATGGCCACTCGGGTGCCACATGGCATCCACATGGACGTCCTCACATAATTAAGCCCAAACAATTTTGAAAATCACATTTTTGGTAATTTAAAAAATCTGAAAAATTCTCCAAAAATCTTAATAAATATTTAAAACATATTTGAATATTTATACATCATTTCTCATCAAAACAAAATTGGACCAAAGATACGTGAGATCTCAAGGCTTTGATTCTAAGTATCGGAGTACTCAATTGGCCCGGTCCTGAATGATTTTTCGTCGTGTCTCAAACTGACCCAATAAACCTATGCTCCACAGTCTATGGCAAGGACACATCAAAGTCATTGAAGAAGAGTTTCTCATCATCAGGTTCTCAATGGATTACATGTGCACCCATGCAGAACGTATTGCTACTCAAATACAGAGGCCCTCGAATAGCACATGTGCATTGGCTCTTCCAATGTCGCATAATACATTAGAAGAGTGGCTTCCCTTGCGAATGAAAGCGCAAATGTCATTGAATGGTCTCGTGTCAGGTTACAGACTTATATCCTATAAATCTTTACCATCCCATACAAGGCCAATTCTCACTACACACTCGGGTTCTATTGTACTCGTTTGGATTCTCCAAGTCCTGACTAATCACAATAATTATGAGGCATTCTAATATAAGATCCTAATTAGGAGGTGACCCTCACACCTCCTTGAAAAATTGCCTTCTCAAAACGTAAGCTCTCAATGCCTCATGTACTCGGGGTACGAAAATCTGGGCTCCAATTTGCTAAGCACCCAGATTCTATCTCTCACTCACTCCCACTAAGCAAGAGATTTTTGGCATTAAGGCTTTGAAAGGCCATATTCCCAACAGTTATGGCACATCAGCACCTTATGGAATTGCCAATAAGAACATTTCAGGCCTAGGCTCTTCCATAAGCAATCCTACAGAATGAATCCAATGGCCAACTAACTAGAACTCAATATAAACCAACCATCACCATGCCCCCATGGTAGAAAGTCTAACTAAAATTAACTGAGCATCTATTGAGTCCAATAAAACTAATAAAAATGATTATCAACCACTTCTGATACCTTAATGTCAAAGGTTACCAGCATACTTATCCTATTTCTTTTCAGTAAAAAGTATATTGTTTCTTATTGTACCCTAAGGAGGCATCTAGGAGAGGTTCTGGCTGGTCGAAGGTGGCACGTCACATACAAACAGCTGCACATTTGCACTAAAAGAATGTTGGCACTCAACTTTCAAGTTGTACAGAAACACAAACTTGAGTTACCCAATGCCACATCAATATGGAACTTGCTCATGCCAGTTTTATCCTCACTACACTTCATCTGTAATCCCCCCTAATGTCACCACACAGAGCCTGCCTTTCCTTGTATTGGTCTACCCATTTACTGTTAAATTTTTAAATTCGCTGTCATTCAAAGATTATTTCATTCATCTGAACTTTTGATGGTTAATATTATGGAGAGAAACTCTTCCAAGCCAATCATTGGATACTTTGACATGGTTTCCTAACCAAAGATTGCAAGCTTCTTAGAGTCAGATCACCTGGACGATGCACAAAAATTTCCACTCATGTAAATGTCAGTTAAGCCATGACCTCATGTGTTTTTCTCGCAAGTTGATAGCCACACAGCTCTGTACTTCATGCAACCACATTTGGGATTGGCTCACGAGGCAACAGCCAAAAATTTTGACAAAGTTATTAGAATTACCACAATGCCACAGGACTACGAAGTACAAACTGATGGCCATCAATAAAATAAACCAACATACTTGAATGACTGAGCATGTATAATTGTGTAAATATGGTTTAATAGCATTATTTATTTGAGTATGCACCATATGTCCTCGAACTCATTGTATGCATAAGTTATTTAAAAAGAAAAATGAACAAAGTTTCTAATTTAGAAAAAAAGGAAACATGAGTTTATACCCCTATACAAGTCCATTATTAGGTTCCTAGACTATTTTAAATGCATTTATGAAGATATATCCCTATAACTAATTATACTTAGTCCCAGATTCACGTAGAGCTCAGTTAAAAAAATGCCACGAAAATTTCAAAAATTACATGGAATAGGGGGAAAGGACGAGCAAAAGACAGAAACAGTGTTTCAAAAAGCGCTAGGCGGCACCTAGGCGGTCGGGGGGGTTCAGGCCGCCCAGCGCCTAGACGGGCGCCCAAGCAGGCACCCAAAACCTGGGCGGCCTAATAAAAAAATTTTTTTTGGGGTTTTCTCTATCTAAAATAGCCTCTAATGGGTTTTACATTTCAAATAACCCTAAAACCCACAATTTTGCCCCTTTAGTATTAAAAAAATTACCAAAAAATACCCTAAGGAGCCGCATTTCGGCCTTTGGGTGAGACGCAGGTTCTGGACGGCCGCCTAGGCGGGTTCCCCGGCGCCTAAACAGGCACCCAGGGATATCCGCCTAGTTTGGCCGCTTAAGCCTGAGCGATGCGCCTAGACCTTTTAGACAGCCTAGGCGCTGAGCGGTCCACTTTTTAAAAATATGGAAGTAAACTAGAAATATTTCTATTTTCATTACCCTCTCTCCATGAACTCTTGTTTCTCTCAGCCATTGATGAATTGCCCACCTGGCAAAAGGCCCACCACTGCCAAGAACAACCATCTTCCCATCTTGTAATCTAAGAGAGAACCTTCTCTTTCATTATAGTCATCTTTCTCTAGTTTTGGGGAAGCACCTACATTAAAAACTAATAGAAATTTCAACTTTTTTAAGTTTGAGAATAGTAAAATCTCTCTGTCATAAGAACATGTTTGTGCAACTGTTATAAATTGCTTGGCGGAGGTAGGTGTTCATCTCTTGTGGGACATGGTTAGAAGAATGGATTAGATATAGAATGGAAGAGAAGTAAAAGGACATCCAACAAGTATATGGCGGCCCCATGGAACCAATATGTATATATGTTCTCACAGCCAAAACACCTAGTTGGAGTGATTCATGTGACCTAAAATAATCTCAAATCATCTTTGACACATCCTCAGTCAATTTCAAGAAAATAAGGAAAAAACAAAATTGATCTAAAAAATCCCAAGATCTAACATGCATCAAAATGGACAACCAGACTTAGCCTGAGCGGATTTTAGGCACTTTCTCTGCACTAAATCACTTAGAAAAAATCCATCTTTGAGTCAGACATAAACAATTTGAGAGTCATGCGGTCCACCAAATCGCTCTAACTAGGTGTGTGACTTGCGGAACCAAATCACATTTTGGTCCCGCAGGACCATCTAATCTTCTTACTTTTCACTTTATGTTCTCCTACTTTCACTCTTTTCCTCTGTGATATTTCTTTTTTCCTTTTATTCTAAATCTGAGATTTGATCTAGTTAAGGGACACGTCGATTTGGGATTTACAGTTCCAGGGGTACCTACATGCATTTTTTTAACTAGGGATGGGAACCTAATAATGATTTGTGTGGGGGCAGAAAACTCATTTTCCCTACAAAAGACTAGACATAGGTAAGCCTACAGGCCTCAAAAAGGAGAAGTTAACCCAAGCTACGACCATGAATAAAACATATACAGATGGAGGGCATATTGGCACGTGTTAATGTAACTGCTAAAGGGTTCTGAATCTGGGGTTTAGGTTTTCCTTTCCTTTCTCCTGCTCTGACTTCCCCCCCATGCTTTCCTTTCATTTTAAATATCAAATTAATTAATTGAGTGCTATGTGGATTTGGGATTTACAGTTAGTTACGAGGGTATCTTCATACATACATTCAAGTTATGGGTACAAACCTAGAATCAAATTTATGTGGAGACAGAATGCATTTTCCTTTCAAAAGTGTAAACATATGGAAGTTAATACTCATCTCCAAAAGGAGAAGTTAACCTAAGCTAACTCCATGGATAAAACATATAAGCTAGGGAGTGTTTGGCACAGGTTGTGTTAACATAAATAGCACGAAGAGGAGGGGTATTGAGGGATACCACGAGATGTGCTCTGAATATATTTGCAGGCCTACTAGGATTCGTGATTCCTCTGGACCGAGGCTAGTGCCCTTGTAATGGGGCTAAGACTCATCAAGGGTTCCTTTTCCATGCCCTGCACAGTTGAGAGGGGGTGTCTCTCATTGTCATTCAATGGGCATTTAGAGAGTCCACCTTTCCCTAACATCTAGTGAACATTAGGGATCAGATCCTTACTTTGAGTTATTCCATTGGGAGTAATTTTGACCATGTTTATAGTCAAGCCAATCAGATGGCCAACATGCTAGCTAAGGACGGAATCAGGTTAAGCTTCTCACAAATCCTAGATCGCATTCCACAATCTTTCAATCCATATCTACATTCAACCCCTTCACACCCCCCCCCCCCCCTTCCTCTGCCTCTCCCCCACCTCCATTCGCCCCATGTGTCAAAACATCCACTGAGGTCCAAAATCCCATATTTGTTCACATTATTAAAAATGATAATTATATTTTTGAATTTTTGGCTTTTGATTTTTTATATTTTGGCCAATTTTAATTTTCTTTCCATAACATTCAGCACTTTATTTTATGCAATTTGCATTATTTTAACATAATGATACCATTATTTGAAGTATAAAGTAACATGGCCAACAAGACAACCATGGAAACTACTTCCTATACCCATTTTCGTAGTTGTCAAGTAAACAAGTTGTTTCATCGGATTAAATCTTGTACAAAATACTTACCCCAAAAAAAAAAAAAATTCTTGTTCACAATTAGCATTACAAGCAAGAAGATAACTCCTGAGCAATAGAACATCTTACCATCCTTGATCATTTCAATAAAGGAGATATAAGATAATATAAAAATAAAATATGAATTTCAAGTCATCTAGAAAAAATAGACAATGCTCACAACAAAAAACTGGGAAGGTGAGCACTGTGAAATGCTTACCGCTGTGCATCCCTGACAAGATTCAGAACCTGTGATTCAACAGCAGCAATGGTCCCATTTTGTGTAAGGAAAATAGTTTGATCAAAGTCTTCTGGAGCATCATTAGAGGGAGACATCTAGGAAAAACATTTCATGTAAAGAGCAAGAATAAAACAGAAAACTTCCTTGCTAGGAAAGAGAAATCAAATAAAAATCCACGAGCAAATGAAGTATCAAATTTTCTTTAGCAACATACAACTAAGGCATCGTAGTGCAAGCCATCGTAAATTAGCATAACCCTTTCCATATAGTTCTTTCCCTGCTAAACAAAAAAAAGCACCGGTAATTTTTTTCTTTAATGATGAAGAGCAGTAATTGCAAAGAATGGTTTGAATTGCAAACCTGACCATATAGATCACAACGAGCTGTTTGAATGTCATACGCTGCAATTTCACGTCCATAATAATCTGCTAGTATTGAAAGCTCAATGGCTCCTTCATAGATAATGATGCAGAAAAAACCATGAGATGCAAAAGTAGCATTCTTTTAGAGGAAAAAATATTTATATGAGAGAACTAATGTCATTATCAACTGTGAAGAAAATAAATCAAAGGACTGGATTTAAATAAAACAAAAAATGCTACAGGATCCACAAGTAAGCTAATATACGAAAGCATGTAAGCAGTCAAACATACACAAAGACAAAGATAATTCCACATTATGACAACCAAGACATGGCCTCACTAGTTGAATCAAGGCACATTCAATTGTGTGCTGGTTTCACATGTACCACAACCAATGAACAATCAAAACTGTACCAAGAGTACCTTTATTGGGAGCGAAATGTATTATCAAAGCAAGGATCATTAATATTCATCTAAAAGGAACTGAAATGCCCTCTAACCACGTGCCACACTCAAATTTTGACTTGATCAAATAATTGCAGAAGTACAAAAAAATTCCAGGTAAACCTTTAGAAAGACAAGATCGAGGATCCAAAGAATGATGGTCATATCGTAACCTTACAATTTGCTATTATTCTACCGATCAGAATGGAACCTAAGAATAGCAGTGGGGCCTGGATAGTAAGAGATCCTAAAAGGACAATGGTTCACAGGTTTCTCCTCTTACCATAGATGGTTTACTAGTGTGACAGTTGAAATCAGATCTCTGCTAGATAGGGTTCTTCTATGAGGGGCATTGAGCATGCACAACAATATCGAATGTGATTCAGCCCTAGAGATGGAAATATTTAAATTCAAGAACTGTACAAGGAGCATGGCTTTGGTGGAACTATATTTTACAAGATAGAGATTAAATTGGAACATTTACAGATTAAACTGGAACATTGCCACATGTACAAGGTGGCACACTCATTTATTACTGCTCTATCCAACGTAGCCTGTGACATAAGGAACTAAGAATTCTGCTCTGATATGTGCTCGGCTACGACTACCCTCTAAGTTCATGCCTGGACCAAATGAATTCACCAATTGATGAACTTCAGATTTTGAAAGTAGGAATCTTACGTATCCATTGATAATGGAAACCCCTTTCTCTTTCAGGTTATTATTGGTGCCTTCTCATGTATAACAAACTAACAGACATGAACAACTCTATGTGTGTTCCTGGGGTCATGTCCCTCACTAGGATAGGAAGTATGACGCTATCTACATACAATCATAAACTAGTCCAGAACGTTAATGGGACAAAGGGTAGTATCCTCCCCCCCCCATCCCCCCCACCCCCCAAAAAAAAAAAGAAAAAAGAAAAACAAAATCTCGGGTCCACAAAATGCCCATGGTCCCCCACCAAGTTTTAAAAATGAGATCCTCTCTAGTTTTAAAAAATGAAACGTAAACCCCCATCCTAGCATTTCACTCCATCCAATTTACAATACTGTTCTTCTTTTAAAGAATAACTCTTCCCTTCGAAGCCCTAGAACCTGCCTTCTTGTCTTTCCTTAAGTCTAAACAAACCCCCCCTTCTCTCTCTTCCACCCCAATGAACCCTCTCTTCCTCTCTCTCCACCAAAGATGCTCTGTGAACATGTGAAATCCCCCCTCCCCCCTCCTGTCTCCATACATGAAGCTCTCTCCCTCTCTCCCTCTCTTTGTCTCTCTCTCTCTCTCACCACCACTTGAACCCCTGTAAATTCCCCTTGAAACCGCCCCTCCCTCTCTTGCTCCAACCCATCAAGTTCTCTGTCTCTACTCTGTCCTCAATCCTTTAAGTATGAGAAAGAGAGTCAAGTCGAGAAAAACTGAGAGAGAGAGAGAGTTTGAGAGAAAAATGAAGTATAACGATCTCATTGTTCTTCTTAAACCCAAGATTCCAAATTTTGCAGTCAAAAGCATGGTTTATAAGAACTCCCCAAGAACAATACCAAAGAAAATTACCATCAAAACCCACCACAAACAAATAAAAAATACAGTCCCCAATATATCTCCCTCTACATTCTAACATGAAAAGAATGGATTCGAAAGAAAAAGAACAGAGAGAAAGCTCATCTCTATACAGTTAAATAAAATCAAGAAATAGAAGAGAGAGAAAAAACTGAACTTCCTGGTTACCCAATCATAGAAAACTAAAAGTTCCCAAAATGTCTTTTTTATTTATTTTTTGATACTGAAAGCTCCCAAAATGTCTATCTCATCTCTGTAAGCAATCTCATTATCGCTTCCACCTAAAATTCCCAAAATCCTGTTCTTTCTCCAATCCACTGTGCTTTCTCACTGTATCATCTATCGTATCTCTCTATCACAGGCTCAGGTCTGAGAGTGGCCTCACCAGGTTAGGGAATTTGGTGATCTGGGGTGGTGGTGTAGTATAATAATAACCACTTCCATGACCTTCACCATGCCTTACAGTATGATTCTCTTGGGGGGATTTTCTCTCTCAATGTTGATGAAGATGGCGACGATGACATTGATCCATTTAGAGAGCAAAAGAGACTTTCCTGGGAAGGTTTCAATTGAGAGACCACAGCCGAGAGAGAGCAAGAGTTACGGAGGGAGTGAAAGACAGAGAAGGCTTCATGGGTGGAGAGAGATAAAGAGAGAGGGTTTAGAGCGTGGAACATAGAGAAGGGAGGTGTTTTAGGGTTTTTGAGGAAGGAGTCATTCTTTAAAAGAAAAAGGGTAATATCATAAATTGGATGGAATAAATTGTTGGGAGGGGGTTGATGTTTTATTTTTCAGACTTGGAGGGGGTTCACGGACTTTTTGTGGGCCCGAAGGTCTATATGGGACCATAAATGTGGAGAGGGGGTTATTAGTTTTTTTCCCAAAGCTAATCTACCAAGCAGAATTAATAATTCATACACAGATGAAATGCGGTAGTCACATATTGAATTGTAACAAAATATTTAGGACACACCAACAAGTGAAATGCAAAAATCACTGCAGATTCCCTTTAATATAGGACTTGGAACCCCACATTGTTATGCTTGAATGATCTTCTGCAGGTAATGAATCATTCAGTTGTTAGGAAATAGATCTCACAATCACGCTAGCAAAAAGGCCACACGAAGTTCTGATTAAGCCCCCATAACAAAAAGCCGTTGTCAGATATTTAGATGCACCCTAACTACTTGGAACTTCTGTCAAGAGTACTCAACACACTTCCAAGTAGATAGTAGTGACGCAATGTTTTGTATTCATCAACAACAGTATGAAAATAGAAACAATTTTTAATTGATAGAAACGATGAAGTTAACAGGGAAGCACACCTCCCCACTTTTCAGGATCAAGGATCCATGCACAATACTCTTCATTAGGTTTTCCAAGAAATGCCCCAGTATATCTTGTAGGATCACTTGCTACTGTTGCCGCTATAACCTGTAAGATTAAGAAAATAAAAATCAAAGAGAAATCTACGAAACAAAACAAAAGGGAAAGCCCATAATGCAAATTAGTTAAACAAAACAATAAGTCCATGCCACAAGTAAAAAAAACAAAGAAAGAAAGAAAACAAAAACATTCATGTCTTTTTATTTCCTACCTTAAAACACACCCATCGTTTATATAATATAAAACAGTTCCACATTCATTATTTTCATATAAAATTTTGAATTTAAAGGTACTATTCAGACATTTAGATCCAGTCTTTCTTAGCATGGTTATAGCCAAAAGAAATTCAAGTAACTGATAAGCATAAAGCATAGCACATTAAAGTGAGAAATAACAAAATAGGAGCAGCTGATGACAATCAACATCTGAAAGTCTAAATCTAGCTGTTGCAGAAAGCATTAAGAAGCATACGAGTAAGTAAGTAGTATTCTTCAAACTCCCATTACATTATACAATCTAGACAAGACAAATGAGGATTAGGAATGTTTAATGTGCGATCAAGTATTAATTACACTTGAGAAAACTCTATGTACAACTACAATCAACAAGATAACCAAACGGATATGAATAAAATTGACAACACTCCTCCCAATGTACATAATACAACTCTAGATAATCAGTGAACCATCAGAATTTAAACTTCAATGAATGTAAACAAAAAGGTAGACCAACATAGCAGCAATTTGAATACCTATACCATAATTAACTAAACAAGATCAATAGAAATGGAAATGAGAATAGATCCCTAAACCCCATTATTAGTCCATTTCAATATGGGAAGGCAAGATAATCATCCATTGGATTTCTATCCCAGGGGTGACACATAGAATTTCTAATTTTAAAAGCAAGCATAGAGAAAACTCCCATTATCTCAAAGAGAAGGCCAAAAACACAAAGTTACAGAAGTTGACAATGGAAAACCACCCTCCAAGCATAAAGTTATGAAGCGTGTATCATCAATTAAGTATACAAAAACCTAAGGGAAATACCATAATACATATTAAAAAACCCATCAATAAAAAAGAAACAGCAATTTATACAAAGTAGACACAAAACAAACCAAATAATGCTCTGAATGAGGTTGAGCCGGGCCAGTATATACTAACTTTTTTCATTTTCAAAATTCATGGAAGGAAAGACACAAAAGGCCACGAACCCTGGCCCAAGCTTGCATATGGAGCCTAGATTTTAGTGCCGGTCCAGCCCTCAAGTCAAATTCAGTGGCTCAGGACCGGATTATCCTAGCCCCTTACATAGCCCTCGACCTCTTCCAGGTTCCTTTTTACTAACCAACTTCTAGCACCACGGAAGACAAGGCCTTCATACCTCGGGCCTATGGACATCACTATATCCAAAATAGGCTGAAAATAGGAGTTAAGGTCACTAAATGGTATGGCAGAAACATAAATCCAATTTCAGTTCCTTTGCATCAAAACCACACTAGACCTCATAAAACACACCATAAGGAGGTCACGAGTTTGAGCCTTGCAAGGACCATTTGACATAGGGCTTGCACTTACTGGTCAATGATTACAATAGTACGTCTCAAGATTGATTCCTACGGCTGAACTTCCCAAATGAAAAAGGTGTAATCCATGGACGTAGATACCCAGAGCGAGAGAAATAAGTATTCAGAAGGAGCAGGATAGAAGCTAGTTAGGAATGGAATTTGAGAGTGGGAGTTAGAATGTTAGATAGTGCTTTTTGAAGAGTATCACTATAAGATCAGGGTCCTTCAACTATACTCCACACTAGCCTTGGAAAAACCATTGACAACAAACAGGAAAATCATGCCAATCATGCCGTCTTGCCAAAAGTAGAAAACCTTTCTAGTCAAATTAAAATGAACAAGGCAAGCGTCAATTTTGCAAATGCTGGCCATCCAAACTAGTCAATCACGCAAAATTAGTCAAACTATAGCAGTCACGAAACAATTAGTCAAAATAAAAGATATCCCTCTTATCAATTGCCAAAGTTCAGTCAGAAATCTGTTTATGTAAAAACTTTAGCCTCAAAAAAAAAATTTATATGAAATGTCAAGTCTCATATAGTTTGCATAAGTTAGTACAGACGTAACCATTAACAAATTGACATTTATAATTGGATGCCATAAAACCTATCGCTTAGGACATTAAAAAAAAAGAAATTGGGCATGCCATTCCAACTTTGTATGTAACTGATTCTCCATTCAAATTTTATATATTTTTCTTTAGACAGCAAATAAAAATTTTCTCTATATGTTGTTAAACTAAAAAAAAAGGCTGAAAACAAGTAAGAAAGGATAAAAGTATACCTATTTCTAGTACAATAACCACATAGAAATAGACAACAATAGAGAAAAGATAAACCATTAAGTTTACAATGAGAAACCCCACTTTTAAACAAATAAAAGAGAATGTAAAATTACCATATTTCAGTAACTTCTATATTTTGTAAGTCATTGGATCCATGATGACATTTTGTGAAAGTAACCAAGCCATAAGTCCAATTTTGTACTTAATTTATGCCCCGTATAATACAAAGGACTTCTCAAATATGTTGGCGATTGTGGTCTTTAAAGGCCTTGAGAGCATGTAAAGATAAATAATTTATAGTGGATGTTCACACTCCAGTGGAAGTGTTGGTTGACTGACCTTGGGTTGGGTGGTTTATGGCCCAGGTCATGTACAAAACCCTTACCTCTAGGCAAAGGCACTACCCTAAACGATTTTAATGGGTCTTCTCTTGTTGAGGTCAAACAGATGCCCAAGGATGAATATGAGAACCAGAAAGCCACCAGGATCCCACGTGTGGCTACAAGCTTGTGAGGGCAAGGGCCAAATCTTCAATAAACCACCACAAGACATATACACATGATAGCTGCATTCTAGAAAGCAGTCCCATACAAAGGAACCATGTACATGCACATAAGAGAATGTCCACCTTGCACTATAATGTTATGTGCATGTGCACTGCATCCTTTTTGAATTTATCTTGCTCTTAGGGGCGAACCTAAAATCCACACACTAGATTCGTGATTTTGCTATTTACTGACAGCATTGACGAACCAATCATGAGCCTCTGCAATTGATTGTGGGCCATGGTTTCCCGTTGGGTTGGTTTGAGAAGATAGTCATGGATCATGGATTTTAGCATAGGTGGAGTCCCTCAGAAGTGTCACTTTTTTTTTTGTGAAAAGGTTAACTTCATTGAGGAATGAATGAATTACAATATATCTAAACCTAAATAAGGCAGCCCCACAAGTTGGGTGCTCAGACTACAAGAGAGATAGACAGAGAAAGAAAAGATAAAAGGAATGATAGAATTAGGGAGATTGAACATCTTTGCAGGAAAGTTAATCCCCCCTGGTACCTCATGCCTCTGTATGATGAGATTGAACATCTTTGTAGGGATATGCCCATCTCATGGATGCATACCTCGAGGACGTCAAACGCACACACGAATCTGCTGGCCAAGGACGGAGCCAATACCCATGAGGAAGACTAGCCCTTCATCTACTATTTGCATTGGGCGGACCACACACCATTCTGCAAGGAAAACACTTTTCATAGAACGGACAATTTTTTGTACTCTCTTGTAAACTTTGTCTTTACTCTATAAAGGGGTTAACTCATTTTTTTATACCCTATGAAGGGGAAAACCTAGAACCCAATTTTGTATAGGGCCTACTGGCCTATTCTTTTTTGCCGAGAGTCCCGTCTAAGAGGGTACTCTCGGACTAACTCAATTGTCAACATTTCAAAAAATAAAATAAAATAAAATAAAATAAATAAAAATATGATAGAACTAGGGAGAGAGACGAAAAGAAGAAGAAAAAGAGGAAAAAGGAAAAGGAAAACGTAAAGAAAATTGTGCAGTGCCCTACATGAGAGTAAAAGATGCAAACTCTAAACGAGTAACCGAATGCCAAAAGGTTAGAGGCTAGGGCAACCAGTAGTGGTAGCAGTTGTTAGGCCTTTGTAGGATAATCAGCAGTGAGTTTAGGACCTCGGCAGCCGACAAAAGATCTAATGAGAACTTCAAAAACAGTTGATTTTGAGATGATCAGTAATGAAGTTTGGACCTTGGAAGCCAACAGAAAGGTCTGGTGAGAGCTTCAAACCGCTACAAGATGGTAAATAAGTAATTAACTATTTTTGTGGTCACTATTTTTTATTTCTGGTGATGAAGAGATCAAACAGCAACATGGAGCGAAGCGTGGCCAAGGAGGTCGAAATAGCAGGTGCCAATGTAGATGAAAATCCAGCAGACAACCACAGACCATAGCGTGATATTCTTCCCTGTATAGATAAAACCCATTTCTTTAAGATGCGAGCAGATAGAAGGCAAGTGCGAATGAAGAGGATGAGGAAGAGAGTGTATGACCTTCCCTAGATATTCAATTCCCACTACTAAGAGCAAAGAGTGAATAGGTAAAGGAAGAAAATAGACTGGATGAGACAGATTATATGAAGGGTGGTTGTGGTGGGTTAATTACAGGGAGAGATTGTACCCAGCTTGGATAAAGCAGAGGGCCCACAAAGAATATAGTGAAAAGAAGATTGGAGCTAGAGATAGAAAAAGGAAGGAAGAAGAAGAAAGGTGAGCGGGAGCACGCCAATTTAGATAGAGTTTTAGAAGGACAAAAATTGGGGAAAGAGATGGAAGAAGAGAGGTTGTGGGGGAGAGGTTACAGAGGTACGTACTTAGATTAGACTTTGTTCGAGGCGTAGTCTTTTTTTGAGAGAAAGTTAACATTGTATTGCTGGGGGGAAAGATTACATGGATGTGAGAGTCCAAAGTCACCCAAACGGGGTGACTCGGTAAAAAAATACGTTTAGTCTTTCATGTACAAAACGGGCTTATAGAGACCACCCAATTACATTGATTTACATGGAGCTTTCAAAAAATTACAGTAGGGCAAAAATATGGCGAGATCCAAGGTGTTTTAGGCTATGTACCAACGGTCCAGAGCAAAAAGGAATCGGACCCGGCTTGAACTTGTCCTT